TCATGTCCGGGTCGTTGCACACCACCGTCCTGGGCACAAAAAGGGGACGTCTGAGCGAGGGTCTGGCAGGTGACACCCTCCCCACCTCCTGCCAGAGGCCACTGCTCTGCAGGGACCGGGGACACCCGCCTGGCTCCAAGCTGCGGGGGCTCTGGGATGGGCGGGAGCCAGCCCCTCCTGGTTCCTGGGGCGAGGGGAGGGGGCCCTGATTTCAGAGCCTTTCACGGGATCCCCGGAGCGGCTTGGTCTCTGTCACCCTGAGGGACCTCAAGCTGAGCCGGCCGTGCCCGGCACTGCCACCGCCCCCTCCACAGTGCAGCACTCAGAGTCCCGAGATCCCCAGGCGCATGTCCTTTTGCAAATATGTTGAAAGTGTTGATTGTCAAATTATAGCTCTGCTTTTGTAACCATCTGGGCTTTTCTTCATTTAAAAACTATATGCCAAGAGCATCAGAAACGGCAGCCACGTGTGCCTCCCCCTCTGACTGAGCCCCACCCCCCACCCCCAGCGAGACTCACACCTGGGCTCTGCTTGCTGCCCGTGTCCTTGAGCACGTTACATGACCTTCACTTTCCTCAGTGTCCCCATAACAATAGAGTCCACCTCACGGGTGGTTGGGGGTAAAGGAGGCCGTGTGTGTGCCGCTCGCACATGGGTCGCCCGCAGGGCCCAGGCTGGTGCCAGGCATAGATGCCACCCAGCCCTGCCGGTGTGTCAGGCTCCACAGCGCCTGCCAAGGCGCCTCCTGTGCCAACAGCAGCACCTGAAGTTTCGGCCTGTGAGCTTGGCACGGAAGGCCGCAGGGCTGGCTCTCCCCGCCACGGGGCTGCACCACCGTCAGGACAGAGCGGCTGTCCAGGAGCCGGCCTGGGAGGCCCAGATGGAAGGGGCCTTGGCCTCCCCACACGTCATGCCCCTGGGCACCGCAGCCACTCAGGCCTCCTCCCCTGGCAGGACCTTCCTGCACACGGGCGGGCGAACAGCTGCTAGGCTACTAGCAGGTAGACTGTGGCAAGAGCTCTGGTGTCAGAGGCAGGATGGCCACTGGCTGACATCAGGTGCCTGGAAGCTGTCCTTGGAATGTCCTTTTCCACACTAACGTTAACCTGCTACCAAGACCTCTCCGTCCCTGCCCTTGCCCATCGGCAATGGGCAGAGTCTGGAAAAGGAGCAGTGGCCGGGTCCCAGCACCAGGCCGGCCCGATGCTGCGGGCTCAGCCGGTGCTTCCTGTGGTGGAAGGAGGTCCTGCATCCCTCGGTCGCCCTGTGCAGGCCCCGGGCTCAGCCTGGCTTCCCTTCGGAAAAGGTCCTCACCGCGGATGGTCTGCGTGAGTTGGAGTATCAGAGATCTGAGCCACACATGGAGCTCCTGCTTCAGGCCATATGGTGCCCTTTCTTGGGTTCTCGCTGCCTCCCTCACACCCAGTCAGCCAGTACCCCTGGCCGGGACCACTGAGAGGCGCACTGACAGTATTGCTGCTACCTGATCAGAAACCACCAGTGTCTCCCCAACACCCACCTAAGACAGGGAGAAAGGAATGGAATTCCAGAATGTTGGAAAGGTTGTGGGAGAGGCCCTGAGTCAGGTGAAATCCTTGAGTGAGGTGGGGTTCAGTGCCCATAGATGGATAAACTGAAGTGTCAGAGAAAAGATGCTTTAAAGACATAGGAGGAGAAAGGGAGGGAGTCATGGTAGGGGTGGAAAAGCAGGGCACACAAACCCTGCGGCCTAGGGATGCCCATGGAGTGGCGGGGGGGTGGGGGGGAGAGGATGGAGGTGCTCCCAGAGCTCAGAGGGGGTCGGGAAAGTCAAAGAGAGGTGCGGAGGGAGGGGTGTTTGCTGCAAAAGAATGGGCAGTCCCTGCCTACAGAGAGCCCTAGGAAGAGGTCAAGGCTGAGGCTCTGAGGGCTTTGCCAGAGGACACCCAAAAAGGCAGCGCATAGGAGGCAGGTGGTCCATCCTGGGAGGGTGGTCAGAGATACCTGGGATATGAATGGGCACTCAGAGATGAGGCAAGAGAATAGGAAAGGACTGGGAAAGAGGAGGCTAAGGAGATGGAGAGAGTGGTGGGAAGGAAGGAAGGAAGGAAGGAAGGAAGGAAGGAAGGAAGGAAGGGAGGAAAGAAGGAATAAAAGAAGGAAGG